CCCAATATTACCCATAAAAGTAGGAAAAGTGGTCTCCATTTTTTGATTTGGGATGGTTCTGGACATGCTCAGCAATCCACTTAAAATTGTGAGAATTCATAGGATGAATAAGTAAAGAATATTTCAGGATTGTTTTACTGATTTCAGATGCAGTCCAAATAAGTTTGAGAAACTAATTGCTATTTAATTAGCAGTAGTTTCACTGATTTTTATGGTCAGTATTAATTCATTTTGTTTCATGCATAATTTGTTCTCTTGTTTCGGTCAGAAAGTTGTCTTCACCCGCCCCTTTCCTTCCCTCCCCGATCACTGGAAAAATCGCAGAATTCCTTAAATCTTTATTTTGATAGTTCCCCCCAGGTAGCTGGAGTTCCTAGATTCAGATTTGGACCCCCTGAAGATATGCCACAAACTAGCTCAAGTCACTCTGATCTTGGTCAGCTTGCATCACAAGGAGGTAAGCCATTTCTGTACTTTCTTGTCCATGGTTGCTAGAGTGAAAAACAAATAACGCAGTCAATAAAATGCGTTTCTACTTTCAGGTACTTGTTGAAGTGTGGAAACCTGTGACTCTTAAATAATTGTCAGCAGAGAGAGACTGACAGAAATTAAAAAGGTGTTTCCTTCAAGCTGCTGCACTTCTCTTTGTAATATGGTTTAAAAAGTAGAATGCTGCCGTGGGTAGGAACAACAGGCTTGTGAAACAGAGAAGCTGAAATTTTATGTGGGACAAATCGTGTGCTGGGCACAAGAAACCTCATTTAGGGAGAAATAAAAGCCATTCCTTCAATATTTAAAGTTTAATTTTACTGTTGATTGTAGCTCTCCTGCAGTAAAATAATAGGGGAAAACAGCAAATGCAAAGAAATCTTTGGGATATATCCTTAACTGCTAAGAGATGGCCAGGCAATTTGTCTGTATTGTTTTTGCTGTTGTCCTGGTTCAGTCCCTTTCCTCTGCATCCCTGTCAGCATGGAATAGTATGCTGTTCTTCAAAGAAAGCTCACAGCAACATAATGGCATAAGAAAAGGATGAAAGTAAAACAAATAGAAATATTTTCATCAAGGTTTTTGCCTTTCAATAAATTATAATCAACTCTGGCAGTAAGTCAAAACAGCTTAAAATAACAAAAATCTCTATATTTAAGTACAAATCACTGGATTTCAGCAAGTGTACAGAGAGAAGACAGTTAATCTGGTTTTAGCTGGCTATTTTAATTGTCACTAAACCTTTGTGTTGCAGGTTTAGGAATGTATGAAACCCCACTGTTCCTTGCTCATGAGGAAGAATCAGGTGGTCGTAGCGTTCCCACAACACCATTACAAGTAGCAGCACCAGGTAAGTGGCAAGAAATTTGCAGGCTGAAGTAAAGGTTGGAAACCTTGACTTTCCAGAAAAGAATTAGTAGATTATTGTTGTTACAGTTCTCTTACTGCTCCATCAGGAGTATTCGGTAGCCCTTTCCCTGACGTGCCTAAGGCTTCCATGAATTTTCTGTAGGAAATTGAAACTAACTCAATGTTTATTAAACTACCTTTCCTGTACAGTGACAGTTTTTACTGAAAGTGCATCAGCTGACGCTTCAGAGCATGCTTCTCAGTCTGTTCCAATGGTTACGACATCTACTGGCAATCTGTCTACCACTACAGAGGCTGGAGCGGGTGATGATGGGGATGAAGTTTTTGCAGAGGCAGAATCTGAAGGGTAAACTATGACTTGTTTGGTTCACTAAGACTTGATGTCATGTCAGTTTTAATGTTTTGTTTTCATCCAACTGTGCTTGTGATTCATTTTCCATTTAACCTGTAGGAAGGACAGCTCAAACAGGATTCAGTAATTTTGTGAAGTAGTACAATCTGACCTTTTTGTCTAAACCCAAAGATTTTCTTCTGATTTTCTTCTTCTGATTTAACATAGCTAATATAAAAGTCACCACAAAAAGATTTCTGTATTTATTCAGAATGCTGAGGGCTCTGTGGTAGTCAGACACTGATGCCCCAGTTTGAAGGACTGGGCTTTGTAGAGTAAAGGCTTTTTAAGCCTAAGAAAAACCATTCCTGTTTGTTAATAAGTGAAAATCACTCCTTGTTACAAAGCAAGCATATATAATGAAGTCATTCAGTTAAGACAGTGCAAGTATAAAAGATGTAGCACAAGGGAGAGGAGTAAGCAGTTCTTAAGATTTTGATAGACAAATGACTTTGTCTTCCACTTTTCAAGTGCAATTTTTAATATTTATAATAAATGATATATTTTGTATTATGATCAAATACCTTACAAATCTAAAAGGGGATAGGTTACCATTTTATGCTATATTTTACTTTTGATTTGTATTGGTTGCATAATAATATAAGATGTGTTGTTCACAATTTACCTAAACTTTTTTCTACTGATTGCAGGAGGTAGGAGATTTGGTCATAAGCAAATTAAATGTTACTGCTGCAAGTTAAATATGCCGCACTGTTTTCTTGTTGCAGCACCAGCTTGGACTGTAATAGTCTGCCTACGAGTAGATAGACCATAGGATGGGTATTCTAATGTTAAGGTGTCATATTTTTTTCTTACAAAACCACCTAATCTTTAGTGAGTGAGAAGTATATCCATAGAGGAACTAAGTGGTTCACAGAAAAATCTGTAGTTTGGAACCAGTTTTTAGCTTGATAGGAGAGCAAGTCAATCTGTTGCTAGTAGAGAACAGAGATTTCCCACAGTTTGAGTTTTATTTAACATCTTCTAACAGTTTTTATATACTAATAAAGGTAAATAAAATGTATACCAAAAAGTGAGCTGCATTTAAACTAAATTTAATGTTTAATTTTTTTTTTCCAGCCCTATAATGCTTTTTGGTTTTTGTCTTTTGAAGACAGAGCCCAAATAACTTAGGTATTGCACCAATGAGTGATCTTTAGGCGTAACCAGTCAGTGTGGTCCCTCCACTTCATTCTTCGCCTATCTAAACATACATACCACCATCACATTAGGTTTTTAGTTATTGTTATTAAATAGCTTCTGTGACCTTCTCTGAAAGACAGTTACCATGTTGAACATGCATCTGGAGTTGGGCTGGATATCAAGGAAATTACATTGTTATTTTTCCAACAGCCAGATAAATTTCTCATGATTGGGGCAGGGGGGACACGACAAAACAGAATAAAACCGGTGAGAATTTCTGGGGAAAGACGTTTGCATAGGAATCTTTCTGCTCCAAGATGATGCTTTTTTCCCTGAGCTTTTTGAAACTATGTGAATACACTTACATGTTTTTCCTCCCCCTCCTTCTCTTCTAGAATTACTTCAGAAGCAGGCCTGGAAATTGATAGCCAGCAAGAAGAAGAATCTGTTCAAGCATCTGATGAGTCAGATCTTCCTTCGACTAGTCAAGATCCTCCTTCTAGTTCATCTGCAGGTATGGGTTAATTGCTGGAAGCAGTTGTTTCATACCATTTCATTAAGTGTGGAAACTTTTTGGACCAGCATCGTGCACTGCTGGTAGCCAAGATACACAAAATAAGATAGAACACTTAGAGCGAGATTCATGTTTTGATGCTGTCGTGGTTTAGCCCCAGCCAGCAGCTAAGCACCACG